TGTAATAAATTATATAAATAGTCAAGTCAATTTCCATCCTGTACTTTTATGTTTAAATTTAATCATCTGTATTTTCATACGGTATCATGTAGTAAGCTATTTTTTGAAACAGCCAGTTAGTCCATTGTAATTATTGAACAATCCATCCTGTCTGTATTAATATGAAATGTCACTTTTGTAATATTTGTATAACTTTTTAACTTAAAGAACAATGAGAGAGATTCTTTTAGCATATTCATGTAAAATTCTCTAACAATGGTGTTTTAGCAAACAAATAATGGTTGGACCTTCCCCTAAGGTAAGCTCTTAGAAACCTGATGGCTCATTATTGACATGGGGACAAACGTTTTTAAAAGCAAATTTTGATAAACTTTGGAAACATCATGTGGTTATTTCTTACACAGAATGAAATGAATCCGACACATAGAAACGAAAATGAATGCAAACATTCCAAAGTGTGAGGCTATTAACCAACAGAATTTTTAAAGACTATTATTAACAATAGTTATAAAAACTCAGATAGATATGAATTCGTAAACATATTTTGAATCAAAAGAACACCACATCATTCTCTCAGCACATATTTTTGTTTACTCTTATGACATGTAAATTAAAATAGCACTTAACCAAGATACTATCACTTATGTTATTATTTATTTCAGGAAAGAAGAAATAACAGGATGCAGATCATATATTATTTAATAAGACATAAAGTTAGCAACCCCATTACCTTCACTCTTTGTCACAGTTACCCATACTTCCTGCAGACTTTATTCTGTGCAGTCTGTCTTTGTGGCCAATGACAAGTAAAACATGGAGGCTGATTGGTTGAAGGACATGGAAGGGTATGGATGGAAAAGGGAAGAGAAGTTCCAGTCACAGTGACACGGTGATTAGAAGATGGCCAATAAAATGTCAACTTACCAGACCCAACTAAAACAAAACAAAAAAGAAAACATGGAATAAATAAAAATAAGGAAACAGAAAATGAAACAGAAAAAGTAATAAGATTTGACTCAACAATGATCTTTCTTTTAACATAAAGAACACATTAATATTTGGATATATGGCTCACACTAACCATGAATGAATATTTGTTAGCATTTTAAGTATA